TATATATATATAGAGCGAGATATATATATATATATATATATATATATATAGGGGCAAGCTTTCTATGCTTCCCATACCGCATAAAACTTATATACTTCCCCTATCCAACTATCCATTCATTCTGAATAGAGATGGCCCCAATCACAATGTCACGTCTCTACACTATTTTATTTTTAATTTTTAAAAAAAAATATTTTGACACCAAATTTTGGGTGTCCACTCCTCTCTTAAACTCACACCTATAAAAAATATAAAAATATATATATTCTCAATGAAATAAAATGATCAAAATACCTCTAAAAGTTTTACAAAATACCGCTAAAAGTTTCAAGGGGTATTTTGGTTACTATATTTTATCAAAAAATTCTTTTTACTGCGTTTTTAGGTGCGCCACATTGAGATGCAATTACCAAATTTCACATTCACATAATTTGTAGAGAAAAAAACTGAAAATAAAATACTCTGAGGCATCGGATCTAGATCAAATGGTCAGTGGCTAACTTTATCTAAATTGGATGGCTGGATGGGGAGATGTATATATCTTCTATGCATCAGGGGAAGTATAGAAACCTTTATATAGAAGAGGAGAGCTCCAGATATGAAAAAAACATAGTTTCAAATTCACTTCTCAGATAGAGATAATTAATGCAAATCATAGTTAAACAATAACAAACCAGCCCACTTTGCAAAAGATTTCAAAGTATAAACTATTAGAGTCCAAGCAACATAATCAGTTACAAGTGGAGCTCCTTGTTTCTATATATTATTTCGGGTGTGAATCCCAATTTCCCAGCCCCAAAAAGATAATACAAGTGAATAACCTTAGTGCATAAAAAGAGATAATGAATCAACAATTTTTACACTAGATTAAACCCCTGTTTTGACGATAATGATTTATGAAATTGTTACTACGCAGAAGAAAAAACTAAAAAGGACACACCTCTTTGAGATTGCCTTTACGTGCACCAATATGAAGAAGGGTCCACCCTCTATCATCTCTCTCCACAGAGCACTTAAATAAACCCCTGTAAGATGGTCGTCGCTTGAGCGTGGTTGGATAATCTTGAGGCATTATTTTCCAATATGAACAGCAAGCAGATTTTTTATATATATATAATAAACAGCAGGCAGATTTTTAGCCCAAATACCTTAGAAATCCTCAAAAATGAATCCTAGGAACCAAATATTGCCTCACAAATGGGAATTAAAACCTTGAAACCTTTGATTCCTTGAAACAACGTTAGGCTTTCTAATTGATAACAGATTACATGCTTGATTTCACTGAATCAAAAGGGACTTTCTGCTTGGTGAGAGATTACATGTTTAGAGAGAGAGAGGAGTTACGGAGAGAGAAAAGAATGATTTGCCATGCCGTAGGGAGCAAAAGGATTAAGGCCGGGTCCGAATACACGAATGTTCCGAAAGAGAGAGATTGAAGCCAGAGATACAGAGGAAAGGATAATCATAATGGAGAAACTTCGGATTTAGAACAGAGAAAGAGAGGGGTTAAAAGAGCCTGCGCTTATTCTAGTAAGGTCAATGGGAGGTTTGGTGTTAGGGTTTTGATGGAATTGTTGCAGGAACATGGGGATATGCGAGTAGTGTTGCGAGAGAGAGTTCAGGCAAGATCAAAGAATGGAGGACGATTGATCTTATAGCTTACTTTTGTAATGGAAAACCCTATAAAGTGAGGGCCGCAGAAAAAGGGAAAATAAAATTGAGAAAATATCTCTTTCTTCCGATGGTTTAAAAAACGGATCGGTGACCCGGATCGGGTTTCCAAAAAATCGATCCGGCTCAGCGATTCGCCGATGGGGATCGAGAATCAGGTGAATCGGTCAGAATAAAGCTGAAAAAAAATCCGAAAAAATTATTAAAATTCATTATAAATATTGTTTTTTAGGATTTCAATAAGAAATGAGGGTACTCTATTAAGAATTTTCATGTTTTTGAATGAATATGCGAATATTGATATGTTCTTTCTCTGCATGAACCGCCATTCAACATTTAATTTACATCACAC